CTCCATAAAAAAACAGATGAAGCTGTTATATCGATACTTGTGTCTGGAATCATTGGTAAGCACATAGAAAAACTCTACGACTTAAACGTTCTCTTGATCTACAACAAAATAAACCCGCAGGAGCAGGAACAAGTAGCAAAAAGATCAAAAGAGCTGATTAAAATGATGAAAGTTCTGAATAAAGCCAAAGCAAAAGAGATATACAAAGAGAACAAGGATATGTTCAGCAGAACAGACAGAAAAGAGATAGAAGACGCGCTGGGAATAGAAAGCAGTGCATGGGGAATACAGGGAATAATCAATGCAGTGGACAAAGGAATCACGCGAATGGTGAGTACACCTGCACCAGCTGCAGTTATATCACAGCAGATAGCAGAACAAACACCAGTGCAAAACCAGCCAGCACCGCAGACACAGCCCGTACAGCCGGTAATACCCATGGGATCATCCATTCCAACGAGAAATGTGCACATTAAGAAAAGAACCCCAATGATGAACAGACCAGTGATGCCAGCTGATATCATACAGCCAAAAGTAGAGCCAATAGCACATCCAGAAGTAACAGCTATTCCCATGCCTTCTGTATCATCATCGGTTAATAAGCCATCATCAGCTATCCCCATGCCAACTATTCCAGAAAGCATGAAATCAAAACCAGCTGCAACTATTTTCATGCCAACTATTCCAGAAAGTATAAAATCGAAATCATCAACTGATATTCCCATGCCTTCTGTAACACCAGTTAATAAGCCATCAAATACTATTCCCATGCCAGTGATACCTGAGAGTATGAAATCAAAACCAGCTGCAACTATTCCCATGCCAGTGATACCTGAAAGCATGAAAGTAAAACCAGAAGTATCTAGTCCAGTGGATAATAAGCTGGAGAGTGCAGTAATACCTGCCGTACCAGGTAATACAACTGCTGCACCTGTTCAGCCTGCGCCTATTGATGCGGCTGATGATAATATAGATTATAAAAAGCTGTATTCCGACAAGGAGCGGTACCAGATGATTGAATCAGAGCCAGAGCGAGGGTCGTGGCTGGGATACATTCCTGGAGTAAACGCATTCACTGGAATGGTTAAGAAGCTGGCCAGAAAGAGCGATATTCCCGTGGTAGAGCTATCTCAGGATACGACATTTATTTTTGACAAAAAAATGAAGAAGTGGATAACAGTTGACTCAAAAACTCTGAAGCCCATAAAGATGGAAGTGACCCAAAGAAGGCCAGAAGACAAGGAGCCAATACTGGGAGCAGCAGCACCTAAGCCCATTGCCATGCCCGTTATTACAGGGAAAATGCCCAAAAGAGGAGCAGATGGCAAAGTTGACTTTGGGCCAGTTGGAACAAGCTTAGAGGCCAGATACGGCAAGCCAATGATCCAGTCAAGCATTGACACCACAATGACAGATGCAGCTCCTGGCTTTCCAATGCCCCAGGGCCTGTACACCCGAAAGAATGCAAAAGTTTTCATCCCGCAGGCACCGCAGCCAGAAGATGAATGCACAAAATGATCAAATCCATGAAAAATAAATAAAAGCGATTTAATTAGCAGATTACAGACAGTTTAAATAGTTGGTGTATAGAATATTAGTTATATACGCACCCGCTAATAATGGATAGTTTCGTAATGGAAAGAAAATAAAAAATAATTAGAACATGGACAAAGATGCTCTGCGCTCTCTTATAATGAGCAGCAACAGCAGTAAAAAGATAAGGAAAAGCAACAGAATAGATGACATGCTCTTTGGAACGCTTCTTGACGAACAGTGCAGAACTGCCTTAAGTGTTCAGAAAAAGTATAGCGAGTATTTGAAGCCAGCTAAGACCAAAGGACACCAGAAAATAAAAATAGAAAAAGAATCAGAGACAGAAAAAGTAAAGAATGATGAAATACTGCATAGATACAAAGATGAAATACTATCTGTTCTACGGGAAAACAGCGCAGTCATAATAAAAGGAGGCACAGGAGCAGGAAAAACAACACAAATTCCAAAAATCCTTCTGGAGATATTGCCAGCGGGGAAAATCATTGGGTGCACACAGCCCAGAAGGGCAGCCGCTATTTCTGTTGCAGAACGGATGAAAAATGAGCTGGCAAGTCGAGATATCGGATACTCTGTTAGATTCAGCGCAAAAAAAGGAGAAAAAATAAAGTACATGACCGAGGGCATACTTCTACGAGAAATAGCACGGGACAGGAATTTAGATAGCTACTCCATCATAATACTTGATGAAATACACGAGAAAACAGTCGAGTCACTGATACTTCTGAAGTACTTGCTGCTGCTTACCAGAAAAAGACCAGATTTGAAGCTGGTTCTGATGAGTGCCACCTTAGAAGAAGATACGATGCAGGAAATAGGCCCGTACCCTGTGGTGGAGATAGAAAGCACTAAATACCCCGTTGAAATCTGCTATCTTAACGAGCTTCCATGCGACTACATTATGAGTGTGGTTGAGAAAGTGCTTTCAGTGTGCTCTGATTTTGAAAACATTTTAGTGTTTCTGACGGGCCTGGAAGACATAAAAATAGTTTACAATTTGCTTTCTGAGAGGATAAAAGAGTACAAACTGCTCATCATGCACTCAAGAATGAGCACAAATGAACAGATGAGTGTAATACAAGAAAAAGGGCCAAAGTGCATCCTTTCTACCAACATCACAGAAACATCGATAACTATCCCAGACATAAAGTATGTAATAGACTGCGGGATGTGTAAGCACATGGTGTACGATGCCGTACGGAATGTGAAAGTCATGAAGATAGCACCGATACAGAAGGTGCAGGCGGTGCAGAGAGCAGGAAGAACGGGAAGAACAGGGGAAGGCGTGTGCTGCAGAATGTACACTGAAAGAGCGTTCAACTCCCTGAAGAAATCATCAGTTAGCAAGCTGGAAATGGAAGACCTGGAGTATTTCATATTCACATCGATACAGCTGGAGCTGCCAATATCACCGCACGAGAACGTGCGGGCAGCAATAAACAGAATGGAAAAATGCAAAGTTGTAGAGAATTTTAAACTTACGCTTTTGGGAGAGAAAGTCAGGCAGCTGCCTCTGTCAGTCACGCACTCAATCTTTTTGCTAGAAGGAAAAAAGAACAACTGTGCCTGGGAAGTATCCGTCATTCTGAGCATGATCGAAGTGCTTAGCGCACAGAACACAAAACTCAACGAGCTGCTAGACCACTCAGAGGCAGAACAAGTAAGAGAGAGCGACCATTTATTTTTATTACACCTGTATGTAAGAGAAAAATCAAAGATGAAGTCAAAAATGAAAATAAACATCCAAAAGGCAGATAAGATACTAAGCCAGCTGTGCAACATCATGCACATCAAGAACGAAAGCAGTGGCATAAGCAAAGACGTGCAGAGAAGTGTGGCCAAAGCGCTTATTACATCGCACAGGCACAATCTATGCATGAGAATAGGCCAGACTTACAAAGAAATGAGCACGGGCGTGGAGTGCGTTATTTCATCATCTTCGCTCCTGCAAAAAACAAGCCACACTGTAAATTACTTGGTATACAACGAGATAATAGAGATATGCAGGCCTGTGCTGAATATCGTAACAAAGGCATCATTTGATGAGATAAAAGAGACAGAAAAGAGCTAATAATTTTAATAAATTCTATCCTATGTTTTATTTTAGTTGGCAACACATTCTTATAGAAGACGGATCTGTTTATTGCCCTTTTTCTTACTATCTGAGCCATTAAAACGCATCTCTGCCCTAGTTAAAAAAGCAATGCATATTTAAATGCAAATTGCAGTTAATCTGTTTATCTTTAGAAAAATTAATCAACAATTATTCATTCTTCTATTTTATTTGTGTTTCACTGGCCATCATCCAGCTTCACGCAGATAGAAGCAGCAGATAAAAGAGGATCTATTCTCTAGTGGCATTTATTTCCCATTTTATTCTTCTAGCACAAAATTTTCTGCTGTCTATTTTATTTACTTCCCTCTCTGTCGTGTGTCTCATTTTCTTCGCTTTTTGCAGCATTTCCTCTGCTGAACTTGTCGAACAGGAAGGCAATAAGACTCTTGCTCTTGTCGTTGAGCTCATTCTTTGCCTTGAATATTCGCTCTTTTCTCACCTTTGAAATGATTTTCTTGTCTATGTTATACACCTCGTACACGCTCTCGTCTTCTGTCTGTCTTATGACCCAGAACTTGTATGGCTCGAACTCAACCCTCATTGGGTTTATCCTGCGTATCCAGAACTCGTTGTTTGTCGGGGGATCGATTGGCCAGTTATTCTGCTTGGCTAGTTCTCGAATGTCCACCTTTTCAATACACGTCTTGCCCATCTCTGATGTGCCCATTGACGAGTCTGTAACGAGTCGCACGATCAATCCTTTGTACTTAAAGCTCTTAATCACGCACTGGTCTTCCTCCAGCGGTGCTTCTGTGTTTGCATTTATAGGGTCCCTGGAGTTGTACATCGTTATCTCTTTCTCTATGTCCTTAGATGGCCGTACTTCTCTTTCTATTTCTTTGTCTGTTTTTATGTCAAACTGCCGCATAAGCCTGCACTTCTTAACCGGAGGATTCGCATCCAGAGCTTCAGTGGCCATTGGATCTTCTGGAAGCAGCTCGATGGCAGATGGCAGGTCGTTGCGCAATATTTTGTATCTTTTGAAAAAACGTTTTGATCTTTTTGTCTTCCACGAGCGCACTACTCTTCTGAAGAAAACATCCGAGGGAATCCTTCTCAGCTTCATGAATCCTCCCCTGTCCGTGATTGTAAAGTTCTGTTTGCGGATGATCTCCTTCAGCTCTTCATTGTGCGCTTGGCTTTTTATCTTGTGCATCTCTATCTGCAGCCATCTTGTCTGCATCTCTGCACTTCTGGATGTTTCTGATACGAAGTGCTCCGGATGCTCTTTTATGTTTACTATTTGTATGTCATCTGCCGCGCACAGCTCTCTTATTTCTTCCGTGTCCATTTTTTCTTCTGGTATTTTTACCACTTCGGGAATTCCGTACTGCAGGAACAGCTCTTTCAAATAATCAACCACTTTGCACATCTCCAGATACGGCATGTCTAGGTAAAAAGTGAACCGCGAGTACACATCCATCACAAAAATAAGTATGCCTCCTTTCCCCGGCACTATCTCGTGCCACTCGATCGAAAACAGACAGATGGCAAACCATGGCTCTCTGACCACTTTTACAACTTCTTTGAACCTCCTAGCGAACGACTTGCCTGATATGATGTTTCTGCACACAGGACACATCTGCACCCATGCGCTGATGTACTCTCTAGATATTCCATAGTACTCTTGCTGCACAAGGGGGATCATGACCTGCGCGGGCACGTGGTTTTCTGTGTGGAAGTGCGTCAAAATCTCGTTAATCCGATCAACTTCATCGCAGGAAACAACAAGCAGCGGGTCTCCCTCTGGTTTGTTGTAGAAGAGAAGGTCCTCCACCACGTAGAACTTCTTTGCAAGATTTTTAATGTATGCTCTGCTGGCAGCAAGCGTGCCTGGAGGAAAGTATCCGTTATTATTCAGATAGTATTTCACATTCTCCATCTCTTCCCTGGTGATTCTGAAGGTCAGGCCTTTTTGGTCTCTTTTCTTTTTTTCTGATGCCGTTTCATCTTTCTCTTTTTCGTTCTCGCCTTCCTGCATGGCTACCGAGTGCTCTTCATTGGGTGTAAACATTTTCGTATAAATTTTTTATTTGAATGGAGAAAAGTACGTATGCCAAACTTAGCGCAGGCAACAAACACACGCGCCACAACAACATCTACATCCACACAATTCTCACCATGATAAAAAAGTACAACAGGCAGGTTACTTTCAAAGAGATAGAAGGAGAAACAGGGATCGACATAGAAAGAACCGCTGGGCTGCTTGATTTGCTCATAAAAAATCAAAGGATAGTGTGGGAGGGAAAGACGCTGAGGTTTGTTCCGCTGCACAAAATAGAAAATGAAAGTGAGCTACTGGAAATACTGAAAAAAACAAACTCAGAGCACGGAATATCGGTGGATGAGCTGCTGGATAGAAGCAACGACATAAGGCCGTTCATAAACAGCCTAATAGACAAGAACCAGGCAGTGGTGCTGAAAGACATAGACGGATCAACAACCATCTTCTACAACTCTCTTGACGAAATAAAAAACGTAGACGCAGAAATACTGAAACTGTACGAAGAGGTGGCAGTTCCGGAGACAAGAGAGCTCGAAAAAGAGCTTCTCAACGCAGGGCTATCTACAAAAACACAAGAGAAGCCAATGCGCAAGGCTCTCCCCCTGCAGAGAAAGAAAAAGTACCTTAGAAAGATAAAAATAACAAATACGCATTTGAACAACTCCGATCTCGGAATATAACGACAGTTTACAGCGCTATTTCAGATGTGCACCAGTGATAGATGATGTTTTTCTGCTGTTCTTATCTCTGCTCCATCACTGCTAGAGCACTGTCTGCGGCCAATTACCGTATGTGTCTATTTTGTGCTAAAATAAATTTTCAAATGTTTTTATTGGTATGGGTTCAATAACAGCAGGGCTGCAAAAGATAATAGAGAAGCAAAAAAAGAAAATGGAGCTTCAAGAGAAGAGATTGGAGGAAAGACACAAAAAAATAGCCACAGCCATGGCAATGAACGAGGAAGCTCTGAAAGTGTCAAAAGAGGAAGACGATCCAAAAAGAGGCAGAAGAAAGGCAGGAGCAGAAAAGCCGTTTAGAGGATGCACAGAGGAAGAAGCAGAAAGCGATTTGATGAAAATATTCAGCGGAGTCAAGTCGGACAAGTACATGCACATTCTGCCAGATGGAAGAACAATGGTTGTGATCAAGAAACAAGTCATCACAGAAGGAGACATCGTACGGATAGAGAAAGGAGATCTGTTTGAAGTGGGAGTGGTAAAGCATCTGCACAAGGGAGCTCTGATCTTGGAAAACAAAGAGAGAGAAAAGAAGTATCCTCTAAGCAAGCTGCTGTCCTCCAGGTATGTAATAATAACACAGTCAAAACAGTAGATAGCAGCGAGGGAAAGAGAAACAGTAAATAGATGGCAAGATAAGGAATGGAGCACTAGGAATGATAAAATAAAAAAAACAATTTCAGAGACTTACAGAATGTAAAGTATAAGTATTTTATTTTTAAATAAATCCATGTCAAGTTCACTTGGGGGCTACATAGAAAGATCGCCAAAACAAATACTCTATGAGTTAGAATATTACCTAAGAAGATGGACAAAAACAAGTAAAAACATCCAAACATTAGAAGACCAATGGGAAGAAGTGGAAGAAATAATGAGAAATCTTGGAATAATGGATTTATTTATAGAGAAAGCAAGAGAAAAGAAAAGGGTGCCACTGGAAACAGTAATAGAAGCAGTACAAACAAGCCTGCAGAAAGCAGAAGAAGCCAGGCAAATCGAAGAAGGTATAATAAAACAATTCGAAGAATCAGAGCGTAAGAAAAAAGCTGATGAAGAAAAGAAATACCAAAGAATAAAGGAAGAAGCAATAACTGAGTATATAAAAAAAAGAGTAGGAGAAAAATATGAACAAAAGTTCAGAGAAATAATGCAATGGTATGAAGAAGAAAAGCTCAAGAAAAAGTACCAAATGGAAAGGAAATCAATACAGTGCACCGCGTGCAGAAGATATGGCCACAGCAAGGAAGATTGCAGAAGACCAACGGTAAATAGGAAATAAAAAGATAGTTGAAACAAGACCAGCGAAATCTAGAAGAAAGACTTAAATAAAAAAGACTTTTACGTTCCTTTAAATTGTATAGGAAAAAAAAAGAAGCCAATGAAAGGAACAGAAAAGATAGCAAGTATGGAAAAACATTTAAATACCAGAAAAGAGAAAAATTCTATGAGAGAGAACAAATAAAGATAGAAAAGCATGAGAATCTAAAAGAGAATCAGAAGAGCCAGAAAGTAAGATTTTATGATGATGGCGTAATAATGAAAGCATGCGGAAATAACTCATACATAGTAAAAAACTCAAAAGGGCAACTAAAGAAAAAGACGTACAAGGAAATAAAAGGATTAAAAGAATTAAGAAAATTACTAGAAATGATAACCTCCTGCTAAAACAATGGGGGGCATAGTGATGTAAGAGACAAGCCTTCCATCAGGGGGGCATGTAAAGTGTAAGTACTTAAATTTAAATAAACTCATGTTGAGTTTACTCAGAATAAAAGTGGATTTTGTTTTCATCGCCATCATCACGAGTGATGGAAAAGCAAGATAATAAATTGGAGCAAAATAATAAAAATATGCAGACAGAGAGCAATGATGACATAGAAAGACTAATTAAAGACGAAAACATAAATAGAACAGAAAAAAAAACAAAAACTAGCGAGAACAAAAGCCTATTGGAGCACTTCTCTACTTACGAGCAGACAAGAAACCTTCCAAATTAACAATTGGTACGCTTATTTTTATTTTCTCAGGCGATCAGGCGAAGAATAAATAAAGGTTTTTATTTGACATATGCGTTTATTCTTATACTTTCTTGAAGACATAGCTCATTACGTGTTTATTGAAGATGTATCTCTCTTTTAGCACACTTTTTTTTATTTCGTTTTCTACCTTTACTGTGTAGCCGTACGAGTATCCATCGTATTCAAACGCTTTCTTTAGCTTGTCTGTTAGTGTATTGTGCCCTTCCATCAGATCTTTTTTTGAGTCTGACTGGTAGAACAGTTTGTAGACCATTTCAGCTGCCACTTGATGGATACTTTCCAAATGAAGAGACAGGAAGGGGGATGCATCGCTCTCTGGAAACACTTTTTCTATTGCTCTGATGTAGTTTTTCATTAGTTCGTGCAGTTTTTCTATTATTGCATCGCATGTCTCTCGTGTGTGGACTATCCCCGTGATGGTTTTTGTTATTTTGTGCCCTTCTATCTCGCAGTACAGTTTAACGGCTTCAACCGGGCTCATTTTCTTGAGCAGCTTAAGAAGAGAAGTGCAGCCCTTCCACTCGCTCATTCTGTAGATGGATCTGATCTCTGCTATAATGTCGGGAATGGAGGGATTTTCAATGCTCTCTAGCCTGCCTATCCGCAGAAGATAGTTTTTATACTCCAGATTGTCTACTGTATCCGTTATTTCTACATTGGGCAATTTATTTGGTGTTTTTGCTGTTTTCCTATCTCTGCTTCTTCCTCCAAATATTTTGCTCCTCAGATCTTTGAACGCGCTTTCTGCCTTTACGATCTCAACTCTCACGGGAGGAAGAGAAATAGCCAGCACGCTTTCTTCAATGTCACAGGACACCTCCTTGATCAGCAGGGCATTGTAGAACTCTCTTCCATTTGTGCTTTTATCGTCTACGCCAATGACTATTATGTCCTCGCTTATCAAAAGTATCCCAGAGTGCACTTCTCCATCAATTTTTATTGTGATTATTTCTTTGTGTTTCAGCACTCTTCCTCGTGCTAACGAAGGGTCTCCGTTCATTTTTTCAATTTCATCCTCCAACTCTTTGTGCATTTCGTTGTCTATCTTCCTAGATGACCCCTCGGAAAGCGGAAGAAAAAGGTCTGGGAGCTCTTTTGAAATTCTCTTGGCCTCCTGGATGAGCAAAGAAAGCGTCACTAGCCCGTCCCTTATTTTGTCTTTTTTATGGAGCACTTCCTCTGACAGCGCCTCTGAGTGCTTGGATAGGATGCGGATATGTTTATCCTTCAGGCGAGAGCATTCTCCAGAAGAGTCTGCCAGTATTTTGCCCAAATACTCATTGAGCGAAAAGTCTTGTCGTAAAAATTCTTCTTCGTTCATAAAACTTTTCTATTTATTATTTATATAGATTACAAATAGACATTTGCTATGTCATTTGGCGAGAAAATTGTTCCGCACAGGGGACACGTCTTCTGTCTGCTGGCCATCCGCGCATCGATGCACGATCTGCACATGAGATGCATGCACTTCTTCAGAGCAACATCCTTTATGTTTGTGCAGCAGACGCCGCATCGAATCATTCCCTGGTACAGCTCTACATCCGTCTGGGATTTACTGGATTTTCTGTTCTTTTTTATCTCATCCAGGCGGATCTGCAGGGAGGCATTTGCTGCTTCCAAGTCAGCCACTGTCTTCTTAGCGGCAGATAGCTCTGCTTCGTATTGGACTGACTTTCTTTTGTGGTACTGTGCAGAGGACTTTCTCTCCAAATATTCTAGCTTGGACTTTTCTATCTCTATTTTTTGGTTCTCTATTATCTCCAGATAGCTCTGATCTTGCTCGTTCTTGTTCTGTAAATTTTTTAGCGGATCGCAACTGTCTGTTTTTTCTGTTTCTGTTTTCATTGATCTCAGTGTATGTTTTATCTCTTCTATCTCCAGAAGCAGCTCGTCATTCTTCTTTCCTGTGTCTATGTACTTGCGCACCAAGAATGCAACCTCTTCCAGTCTGTCTATTTCCTTGTTCTCCAGCTCTTTTATTTTTTCGTGGCAGTTATTCTGGCATTCTGCTTTGTTGCTTGCATCGTTCTCCAGCTCCCTTGTTTTGTCTACCACTGTGGAGTTGAACGTTTCAATGGCCAAGTACAGCTCGTCTACTCTTTTGTGGTGTATCTCTTTCTCTTTAACGAGCTTTTCTATTTCGAGCTCTTTCTCTGCCTGTTTCTCTTCCATTTCTTTATTTTTCATCTCTGCTTCGTTTGCGAGTTTCTGTTTTTCCATGTGCAGCTCTTTTTCTGTCTTCAGAAACTCTTCTATTTTCTCCATGAGAGACTTGTTTGATAGAAACAGCTCTTTGTTCTCCTGCTCCAATGTCTTCACAAGCTGTGTGTAGTTTGGAGGATACTTGCTGAGCATCAGGTGTATTCTGCTCTCTAGCTTGTCCATTCTCTCGATGTATTCCTCTATTTCTTCTGCTGAGACGGTTGGAGTGCTTTTCTCTTCCGGCCGCACTTCTTCTTTTTTCTGATTGGCTCTTTTTCTTAGCTGCGAAATTGTCTGGTGGTGCAGCTGGCACTGGAGAATCAGCCGCTCTGCTATTTCTTCTGCTTTTTCTCTGCTCTCCGAGTGCTCCAGCAGCTCGTTTATTTTCAGTTTGGCTATTCGCGTCTTTTCGCACTCGGCCTCTTCTGCTGTTTTTTTATACTCTTCCATTTGCGCAAAGATGGAGTTTATCTTTTTTTGTGCTAGCGAAGCTGTGTCTGATTCGTCCCACCAATTGCTTTCTTCTTTTGCGTCGTATGTTAGTTTCTTCAGAGGAGTCACGTCAGCTCTTCTTTTTTCCATTAAAAAAATTGTTACGTGCTTTCATATTTCAAAGGAAAACTTTGCAAGTGTCACAAATCCAGCTGCAAGCAAATAAAAGATCCTTTATCACAAGCAGGACTAGCGGAAAATGAATGGGAGAGGTAGAAGCTGGCTGTATATGAAATAGCCAACTCCTCTAGCTCTCTTTCATTTTCATGTGATTTTCAAAACTCATTCGTGCTGCCCGATGGCAAACAATGGATCGAATAAGTATTCATCTTCCTTCTATTATTATACTTATAGTGAATGATTTATGGTCTTGATGCGACTTTCTATCATCTGCCAGATATCTCTTTTTTCCACAAATAACTGATGAAATCTTTTCATATTCTATACAGCTAATGAAAACATTCTGATTAGAGAAAGAGAGAGTATTAACTAGGCATCACTGACTGTTGCAACAACTAGCAAAGTAGCGCGGGCTTAGTAGACCGCCCTCCAAGAGCTGACAATAAAACTAAAAATAAAAATTGCTCGACAAATAGAAGAAAACTAAACTAAACAATCATTTATAAACTAGCCATTCTAACAATTTCTGAGATAATAATTAACCATTAGAACATTTTATCTATTTAGCCTGCTATTTCTGGGCCTTTATCTTTTTGCTCACTCCAACCGGCGCTTTTGTCTTCTGCTGGGCCGTGGTTCTTTTGTTGAATATGCTTTTGTGCCACGGGAATCTCTTCTGCACGGACATCTGCACTTTCTGTGTGAGTGTTTTTCCCAGCTTTGTGATCTCTGAGGCGCTTCCGTTGTACAGCAGACTTGCGCTATTGATTTTGTGGAACTCGTTTTCAAAGTGCACAATGTTTTTGTAGTATCCGCTCTCCACTCTCTCTTTTACAAGAGACAGACACATGGGCTCCTTTACCACCTTGTAGTACTGCGGGTACTCTTCGCTGTTCACCTTGTCGTAGAATACTTTAAACTCGTCGCTGAGCACATCTGAGAAAATCAGCTGCAGCCCGTCCTTTAGTGTGCACTCTTCTGAGAACAGTGGCACAATTTCCTTTATGATTGCGTCTGCTTTGGACTTGATGAAAATAGCTTCGTTGTAAATCTCGGACCCTGGCAGGTTGTAGATCATGCAGTTGATGAATATCTGTGCGATGTCATAGACCGCGCACTCCATTGTGAAATACGCTCCACTCTCCAGGTCTTTTTTTATACTTTCCAAGTCTAGCGGTCTTTTCACTATTTCCAAATACTTGTACTCCTTTAGCACGTCTGTTTCAATCGGGACCGAGAAGATTTTGTGTCTGTCTTCTGATATTATCCTGTCAATTGCTGAGATGAGAAGCGCTCTTCCGTCTGTTCCATCTTTTCTTGTTGCTGCGTCTATTCTGTGCATCGGTTTCTCTGTTATGTGGAAAAATGCTGCATACTCTCTTTCAAAGTGCGCCTGGAAGTATTTTATTGTGCTATATGACGAGGTGTCGTACTGTGCAGACTTGAAATAGTCTCTAAATATAGAGATTGCTTTGTCGTAGATGGCAGGCATAGGACTGCTGCTGATGTTGAACAGGCACTCTATCTCATTCTTCGGATCATTTGTGTTTTCACTGTCTATTTCTACGCGCACTCCTGCAACATCTGCCTCTTTCGTGCTATTTTTAAGCAATTCGCCCTTTTTTTCTTCTGTTTTTTTTTCTCCACTTTCCTTCTCATTGGAATACACTCGCATTTCATCAAATGTTGACAGTTTGTACTGCATACTTTCATCAGCTGGCAGATTTGGAGTTTTCTTGGAGGCCTGCAGGATGTGCGACGCTGCTTTGCTCTTTTTTATCGCGCACACAAAGTGGTACATTCCCACCTCCTGCGGCTTGTCTAGGTAATATGTCCTCATCTGCCCATCATCCTTGTACAATCGATCAACGTCTATGCTCTCCATTGTGCTGTCTCTTATTTCTTCGCTCTCTATGGCATTCTCACTGTGTTCATAGGCACTGCTGCTTACTAAGCTACTATCTACTCTGTCACTACCGCGCAGGTCTATGCTCCTTCTGCGGGCACTTCGTGATTTTCCGCTTTTGCTTGGCTTTCCAGCGCTCTCAGCTGTCGTACTGCTCATGTACTTACTGCTGCTGATCATCTCACTATTTGTGTTTTTATTGGAAATATTTCCATATTGGGCAATTCTATCAGTGTTTTTATCAAAGACACTGCCTGCCCCGTCAATTTCTTTTAGATTTATCTTGATTATCAGGGGCTTAAAGACCTTCACAACTATTCTAGGCACTTTGCCCTCTTCTTCGCTGCTCATCTCGTGCATGACTGCTTCTTCTTCTACCTCTGCTGCCATCTCTGTGGGCCCCATCAGCAGCCCTTCTATTTCTCTGAGCACGCCCTCCATCTCTTCATCTCCCGAGAATATCTCTCGCATCTTCAGAATATCTGGCGCGTACTTCTGAATGCTCTCGTATATGGGCAGTGCAGCACACTTTGCTCCGTCTCTGATCACCCGCAGTATCTTCATGCGCACTATTCTATCTTCATCCACTGCCATCTGCAGCACGCTCAACAGCTCTTCAGGGAACAAAATAATTATGCACTCGTATGCAGCCATTCGAACTTTGTAGAAATTGTTGGTATTCGTGTACAGAAGCATTCTCTTGTACGAAATGCTCACATATCCCTGCACGCCAAGCCTTGTCAGGGCCTTGATAGCTGCACACGTGAGAATGTTCTGGTGGCTGGGGAACAATAGATCTCTTCTTCTAAGCCTTTCTATCTCGCTGACAAAAGGCCCTGTGTCCACATGCCCGTCTGAGCACAGCGCAATTCCCAAAGCCGTTATGATGTCAGCCAAATAAAAAGAGTCATCAAAAGAGTTCCCAGTGTTGTCGTTGTATCTCATCAGGTTCAGCAAAAAAGCAGAAACTACGCTCTTTGCTCTGATGACCCTGTCTCCAACGCTTTTCATGCTGTCCAGCTGGCACAGAGCCATGGACGATGCTATGTTCTTCTGCATAAAGTACAGTCTATACGCAGAAAAGTCGTTAGATCTAACGATGGTTGTATTCTGTATGCAGTAGTTGTTGATGAAATACTGCACAACCCTTTGGAATCCGAAATATCCAGACTCTTCGTTCACGCTTTTTGCAAGGAGCACGCCCGCAGAGATCGACACTTTGTAGAACACAGTGGGGTCGCCCATCACTCTCTCCAGCACTCCGCAAATTGTCTCACTCGGATTCTTCATAACTCCTGAAAGCGCCTCCATCTGTCCGTACACGTCTTTCTCGCTCACCAGCTGTTCTGCGAACATGTAATCTGCCTGCTCCACCGATGCGACCTTCATCCACTCAATGCCCGGGTCAATGCGCACCCACAGAAGAGAAGACGTGTCGTTTGTCGATTGGCTGTGTCTTTTTCTGGTTGTTCTCGTGATGCCTGATGAGAGTTCGTGAGATATCGGAGTAGCACCCAGAAACAGAACGTGGTCTAGCACAGAATCAGTTTCGTATATCCGAATGGAGATGTTTCCTGAAATGGTAACATTCGCATCTGGATGGACTGAGTTAATTTTTTGTCTGAGAATAACAGACACCCCGCCTGTCCGAGAGTGTTCTACGTGCGCAGTTATTGTGGGTATTCCTGATCTAAGGATGTACGCATCGAACAAAGATCTCACATCTTTTCCTGTGGTCTCTTTTATGATTCGCATAAAATCGTTCGTGCTTGGAGACTTTCTCTCCAGCAGCTCTTTCATGATTTTGTGCATAAAAGCGGGAGTGAGGTTGTTCTCCAGCACTTTCATGAATGCCCCTGCTTTTTTTCGGAAGAATACGCTGTTGAACGTGCTGTTATCTCGGGCTGTTGAGGATAAAGGCGGCTCGTCTGTGTCGTGTCTGTGGATGTACTCTATGTCTCTGTTCAGCTCGTACTTTGACTCGTTGCTTCCCAGAATTGCTTCAGAGAGTATTGACGCTGTGTACTCCTGCATGCCCACGTGTATCCAGGCATCGAGCGAGACTGTGTGGTGCGAAAGTATTGTGAAATATTGGGCAGAAAGTGTACGCGTTAGAATGTGTACGCTTTGGAAAATTTGGTCAATTGCTTCAGGAAAAGGTATCTGCGATATATTCAGTATGGAGCAGTTGATGCCTGGCCTGTCCGACACCACAGAAATGGTGAATATAACGTATATTCGGCTAAACGGCAGCTTGTATTCAAGGATTGACTGCGCGGTGTTTAGCGATGTTTTGAGAATATCCTGTGCCTCTTTCTGCGCCACTGCATACTTCTGCGATAAAAAGCCTGGAAGAACGATGGAAATGCGGCCTGAGTTGGCCTGTGCGAAGGTTCCTCCTGTGAATATTATCTTGTCCAGAAGAATCGGATGCGCCTCTGCTACTTTAAAATGGAATGTCTTCGTGGTTCCACCGTCGTATGTTCCTGACAGCGTTCCCGAGGAATAAACCTGTAACTCTTTTTCGCTGGGCACAATATAGATCATTTCCAGCGGATAGTAGGGAGTTGCGGAGGCTTTTGTGCTGACCATTTGGACCGAGGGGAAGAGCGAGTGGGGAGTAATGGGCTGCCCAATGAACTCTGTGTGGCCTGTCTGTGGGTGGCTGTAGAACGTGATGCTTTGGTTGTGCTGTGCGGTGGAGAAAAGGACTCTTATGCGCGTGGTTCCAGAGGGCACAAATATCTTACTGTCCGCTGGAGATATACGGTGCCATGTGGCTGCTGGGGGCGAACCTGCAGTGCTGCTGCTGGTGCTGGTGCTTGGGTGGTTCGCCACAGCACCCGTGGTGTAGCTAGTGGAAGCATCTGCGTTTTCTGAGATAGGGTCACTGCTTATCTCTACTTTTATTATAACAAGCTGTGTTTGCAGGATCTCCAGCACTTCATCGTTATCCAGTGCAATGTGGAAGATACTTGTTCCCGTGCATCGTTCTTCCGCGGGGCTTAGGTGCAGGATGTTCTTCTGGTGGATAATACACATTATTAAAAAAAAATATTTGCAAAAATGAATATTTTAATGAACTGCTTGCTGCGCCGTGTAGAGTAAGTGCGTGCATAGAAGAAAATAGCATTTATTATAGGGCGCAGAGTGAGCAACAGCTGCCTAGAGACTGTTGCACTTTGTGTGGTAAGTAGTGGCAGAAGCACAATTTATTATGTCGGGTGTAGTAAATAGCACTGCTATATTTCTATTTATCACTGCATGCACAATAAGTAGTAGAACGGATAAATCTCTCTACGCTGTGTACAATAAGTATTATATGGTGTGGACAGTATTATTATACGCTTATTTATTGTGCCCAGTGCACAAAGTGTATGCTTTTGACAGGCGCTGCTTACTATCTTCTGCTGCCCACTCTTTCTTCAGTTCTGGCCTCCTGTCAGTCTTTCTTTTAAGGTCTTTTCTACTATTTCAGCTGTTTCTAAGTATTTAGCCACGTACTCCTCTGTGCTCTTCTGTTTCCACGCGCTTCTTTGCTTGAACAGGCTTATAAGAATATTCATTTTAAAATTTTTAATGGACGCGCTTGGAGCCCACAGAGCACAAATAAGAGAATTCTTTGACAGGTCCCAGGGCGGAAGGAAATACAAAGTGTCTCTCCTCACGGTCCCTCCCCCGGGCAGAATCATCCTGGACATTGCTGAAATACGAAGATTCAACAAAGATCTGTCAAACGCCCTGCAATACAGCACAACCTCGCTGCTTCCTGCCTTTGAAGAAATAGCCCAGGAGTACGCGCACAGCGCAGTGCGCATCGGAATAACAGGAGTGCTTGCAGGAGAGAAAACAACGCCAAGAAACCTTCTCTCCAGCTCCCTTGGGCACCTTGTGGCAATAGAAGGGATCGTCACCAGCACGTCAAAGATACGCCCTAAAATAAAAAAAAGTGTACATTTTATCAAAAATACACTTTCTTTCCTGTACAAGGAGTACAGAGACAACAACACGCTTTCCATTCTGCCTCCCACCACAACTGCAATTCCTAAAATGTCCGCAGATGGAAACCCGCTGGAAATGGAGTACGGGCACAGCGAGTACACGTCCCACCAGAGCATCATTCTGCAGGAAATGCCAGAGCTATCCCCTCCAGGACAAATGCCCAGAGGCATTCGAATTATTCTGGAAGACGACCTAGCAGGAGCAGTAAAGCCAGGGGACAGAGTGCGCGTATACGGAACGTATAAGTGCACATCCCAGCTGAAAACAACGCAGGACACACTGAAGACAGTGCTTATTGCAAACAACCTCGGAGTGCTTAATAAGAATAGCAAGAAGTTCGCATCGACAAATGAAAATGCAAAAAATACTATGAACACAAAAAGTGAAAATAATGAAAACATCGAAAATGAAACAGAGTCTGTGCAAAACACGAGCGCAGGGAACAGGATAAAAGAAGTGCTGCACAACGAAGGACTTGATGGAGTAGTGAAATACATCGCACCTTCTATTTTTGGCCTGCCAACCGTTAAAAAAGCCATCCTTCTGATGATGATAGGCGGTGAGTCTATATCCACCACTGCAGGAGGACACATCAGAGGAGACATCAACGTGCTTTTAGTTGGTGACCCGGGAGTAGCAAAGAGTCAGATCCTCAGGTACGTTTTGGATGCTTCTCCGCTGGCGATCTGCACAACGGGAAGAGGGGCTTCAGGAGTTGGTCTCACAGCAGCTGTGGTAACAGATGAAGACGGAGGAAGGAGAATAGAAGCAGGAGCTATGGTCATGGCAGATACGGGCATAGTGTGCATTGACGAGTTTGACAAGATGGACGAAAGCGAAAGAGTGGCAATACACGAAGCCATGGAACAGCAAACTGTGACAATAGCGAAGGCCGGGATATACGCAACACTGAACGCACGATGCTCGGTCCTGGCTGCAGCCAATCCTGTGTCAGGGCAGTACAGAAGCACTCTTTCGCCTCGAGAGAACATCAAACTGCCTGAGTCTCTGCTGACAAGATTTGACCTGATTTTTGTTTTGGAAGATAAGATTGACTTTGATTTTGAAATTGCAACGCACGTCCTGGAGAGAAGAATGGGCAGAAACAGAATGTCAGACATATCGCAGGAAGATGTAAGAGAATACGTGAACGAGTGCAGACAGATAAATACAGTGATAGGAGAAGGCGTGGCAGAGTACGTAGAAAAAGAGTACGTAAGGCTGCGAGAAGAAGGAGAAAAGAACAGGCTGAGTCTTTCGCGAGGTGTAACTGTCAGGGTGCTAGAAAGCATTATCAGACTAAGCACCGCACACGCCAGAGGAAGGCTCTCTTCCGTTGTAGAAGTGTCTGATGCAGAAGCGGCGGTGGAAATAGTGGAAAGTACGCTGTGGCGAAAGAGTGTAAGAAAAAAAGTAGGCAAACAGGAGACAAGCGAGACTGTGTGCGCAGTGTTGTACAAGTACAGAGAAGACAACCCGAACGATAAGATAGTGTCGGTGGAGAAGGTTCTCATGCTGACGGGAGGAGAAAGAGAAGAAGTGCTGGAAGGTCTGAAAGAGCTAGAAAAAGAAGACGTGATTAAAATAACGAACGGAATGATCATATTCCCATAGTAAACAGCACAGAAATAAAATCCTATCTATTCTTTATTTGCAGCGGTAGTAATTTATTTTATAGATAGAATAGATGATGTAATCTATCCATGGCTTTCTTTATTTAAATTTAATTTGTACTCAACAGATGATTAATGATAGCTAGTGGCTTGTTCTGGTCTCTGGAAGATAGTGGGTTTTGCTAATCTTTGATGGCTTAGCATTATAGTCGAATGCTGTAAAGTTTTTTACTTTCATTAACAAAGATGAGAAACAAGAATAAAAGTGTTCAGAAAATAATTTGCAAAAACATTTACTGTTTAGTTTTAGAAAGTTTGTAGTGCTTTTTTACTTTGTGAATTGCAGAAAAGAAAAGCTGAGTGAAAATACAAATAATTTGTACACATAAAATATACTATACACATATGCATAGCATCCAAACAATAAGTTTATTATAGGAAATACTTCAGCGAGCACTAATTCCACAGCTTAATAACACAGAAATAATGGAAATTAGATTAGCAACCCAATAATGGCCACTTGCTATTACGCCCCTAGCGCCAGAAGAGCCTAGTTCATCCTTGAGCATCTCTTTCATTTTGTTTCTTATGTCTCTTATCTCTTTGCACATTAAGTACTCTTTCTCAATCTTTAAGACATCTCGGATTATAGCTATGGACTTTTCTGCTGTTATTTTGTTTTCTGTTCTAGAAAGTGTTATTACTTGGCCAATGCAGTCAGTGTATCCTTCTAAACATAGCTTGTGCTGCATTAGTGCATCATCGAAACTAAGAAACAAACTTTTTAGCCTGTTGTAGTCAACATTATAGTGAAGGTTAAGTGTTTCTACCATTTCCTCACCTAAAGCTGCATTATGTTTAGAACATTTGAAATAATTGTTGAGATGAAAGGTTCCTCCTAGCATGTATTTTGTAAGGTTTTTTATGATTCTATTCATATTATACATGCCTTCTTCTATGCTGTAGAAGAAATAATGGACGTTTTCTAAATAGCACGTATTTTTTATGTTTTCTTTTGCTTTGCTCTCGTATTCTTTTAGACTCTCTCGAACACTGTTTAGCTCACATTCTCTGTAGCCATTTAGTCTATTGAGTATGTTTGAACTATTCCTTGTGATGTTTTTTATCTCACTGCTCTTTGGGCTTTTGAGAAACTTTTCCATCTCTTGTATGCTGCTTGTCATTTCTGTGTCCAGCTCTTCCTTTATCTCAAGCGTTTTCTCCAGGGATTCCAGTACTCTTACGTTATCACGCATCTGATGTGAGCAGGAGCTGTTCTTGTTAGCATTGAATATTCTCCAAACATCTTCTTCAAATCTCTCAATGTCCCACGGCCCTGTGAAAAAAGCTATTCCATTCGCATTTAGTTTGCTATTCTCACAAATAAAGTTGTGCTGAGACTTCTTCTCGCTCTGGTTTGCAGTTTTTTTAGCTGGAGAATCACTTTGCATACTGCGCAGAATGCCTTCATCTGTTTCATTTGGAATGCTAAGCGAGATGGATTCATCACTGTCTTCAATCTCATTCGAAGACGTTTTAAGCATTTTGAACGCATATTCAGACAGAGGCATGTCTACCTGTGCACTCTGCTGCACCATGCTTTTCTTCTCAGCATTTACAATATTTATGCTGAATATGGAAACCAGGAGTGTGATAAACACCGCAATAGACAGAAGTAATTTCATGAGTGGAAAAAACAACTCGATTATATTTACGAAAACTGATAGCAAAAAGCATGATTTGATCAGCTAGAAGAGTTCTGGAAATATTTACAAGAGCAGCTTCAAAGTAGAAGCAGAAAGGATCTCTTAGTATGGCACAGAAAATCCGACTACTACACACAACAAGATACAGCACTGTGACAACTCCTATGGAGTGAAAATTAGCAAGCAAAATGCACTTGCAGTGTGCACGGTCTAATTGGCAAATTAGCACTCGAGTATGCCACACTGCTTCTTAGCCAGCCAGAGACTGCTGTCTTATGCTAACTATTTTCCATTTCGCAAATTTTCTTATTGGAAGTGATTGATGGTCTTTTTGGGAATAAAAGTATCCCTGTTTCTATATTAATAAAATATTTTTATCCAGCGATGATCCTGACTAAAAGAACAGTAGGAGTGAAGTTGATGCATGCGCTGTTTATTCTTGTGCTGTGCGCGCTGCTTAAAGAGGCAGCTGCCTCAACTGTCTCTGAAGGAAGCATAGACGCAGACGGAATGGCAGATCTGGGAACAGAAAGCGCCATTAAATGGCTGAAAGAGTACATTTCCCAAAAAGAAGTGTGCGATAGCATCAGCCTGTCGCCTGATGGGCTGCTATCGCTCATGTACGAGGAAGAGGTGAACAACATAGTTAAGGTGGTTGTGTGCATATGCTTTGGCCCTGAAAATCTGCAGATTTCTGATAACTGGGAAAAGGTAAAGCTCGCTCTGGTGGAGCTGATTGAAAGAACAAATAACGGAGCAGACGTGATCAATGCAAAAAGCACAGCCCTGTACAACGCAATAGTCAACCACCCTTCTCGTGTGCCATACTCTGAAGAAGTACTGGTCGATTCATTGCGCAGACTGTTTGGAATATCTTCTGAAGAAAGCGAGCTAAAAAGACAATTTTTGTCGGTTAAGAGTCTGCACAGCGGAGAAAAAAAAGAGAACAGCGGATACACGCTAAACCACCCCGTGGACGTGCTCAACATGCTCTATCTGCACGCTGTTCTCTATGGCATAGACATCATGGAAAACAAGCTGCTCAGCTGGAATCTCACCATAAACACATTTTTGTACAACTTGGGGAAAGAAGTTGACCGGCTCATGAGAGACGCATACAACTCGCCAAATGAGTACATACACAGAATGCACATATCAGACTATTTGCGGCTGGTAAGACCTGAAGCAAACAACTACTGCAAGGTAATCAACAACATTCTCAACACAGACCAGCACTGCTACACCTTGGAGCACATACAGAAGCCCAGAGAAACGTACAATGCAGAGTTCAACAACATAAAACGCGTTAGCACAGGGTTTTATCGAATGACGCCAGCTACGTACATACACCCTTTCACGAGATTCACGATAAGGAACAATATCACGATCAAAAAAAGTGAAAGCTACAGAGATGATGATATTTATTTTTTGAATGACTGCTGGTACCTGGATCTCACCCACGACTACCCCTCAGTTAAAAAAGAATTGCAGAGACCGCACACGCTAAAAGACGTAATAATACCAGAGCATATAGAGAACATCGTTATAAACTCGGATAATATAAGCCCAGAAGAACGCGTAGAGATAGTTGTGCGGTGCTTTGGCAGAAACAATTACAATATCTACACAAGAGATGCCTATTCTGGTGCTATAAATAGATCCAGCGAGAAAAAAGCAGTAGACACTAAGACAGAACAAAAAGAAACAATAACTGGACAGACAGTGTGTGTTTCTAACTTGCAGTGTGCATGATAATTGCAACAGCGATAGTTCAACAAAATGAAATGAGCACAGCTGAAGATAAGTGTGCGTTCTTCAAAACTAATAAATTGGCAGATTTATGAGCTTTTTGTACAAAAACTATACATCCAGTTTAAAAATGCAAATTATTCCTGTGCAGTTATATTTATGCACACGGCGAATGTAATCCTGTCTTGAGCCTAAATCTTTTAATATTATTTTATTTTTATTGTGTAACGGCGTTTATGTACTTTTTCTGTTTTTCTTCCTGCTCCTGCGTTACTCCTGCTTCTTTATTCAGCTCCTGCAGGGCATTGATAATCGTTTGGTTGTCTTTTGGCTTTATTGCTCTTTTTCTTTCTATCAGATGGATCTCTCCTGTTACTTTATCTTCTATTTTTATTCCGTCTTTTACCGCTTCTACTTCGGAGGCTGTGATAACATACGGTAGATACGGGTCTGGAAGTATCCTGGCCAGCACTGTGTCGCCTGTTTGCATCTTCCAGACGGCAAGCACTTCTTCGAGCCTGTGCGCTTCTATTCCTATAAATGACTCCTGTCCGTTGTACTTGTACGCATTGCTAATCAATAGCTCTACGTCTTTCACCATCTGATCAAACGATTTGTACTTCAATCCATTGATACTGTCCTGTATGGTCTCCAGAGAGATGGGGTTGTGTATCACCGATGAGTATCCTGGGGCAATGTCGTCTGTAACGATTTCTCTGAATAGATCGTGTCTATCTGTGCGCTCCAAATCGTCAAATAGCGATTTTATATGCTGATATCTCGGTATGTATTTCGAGAATATTTTTATCCGCTCATTTTCCAGACCGGCTATTCTTTTGTTTATTTCACTCGCATGCCTTCTCACTGTCTCCAACGACTTTTGCACTTTGTATGCTCCAAGCACCGCTATTTCATAGAGATGAAGTTCACTCTTTGGCAGAATAATTTCAGATGGCAATGCGTACTTGTCCAAAATAGCCCTTTCCTCTTTTCCAAATTCGCGCTCAACTGTCTCAACCTTTCCCCAGTCTTTGAATCCCTCTGATACGGCATCAATGCGCAGTCTTTTTATGATAGGCCTGTCTTTCTTTCTGGCCTGCCATGCAGTAAACATGTCTTTCACAAAATCGCAGGAGTCTTTACTGATGTTTTTCATGTCTCTATTTACAATTCTGTTTACAACGTAGTCTGATATTTTTATGGCCACACTTTCGATCTCGGAGTGTATTCTTCTCTGCGGAATCCACAGGGGAACTGCGTTTCTAATGCTTGGCGTATGCTCCAATAGCGGATAGTTTCCGTCTGGGGACCGAGTGAGGACGCTTTCTGCTTTTTTTTGCGGATCGTGCTCGTGGCAGAAAATAATGTAATTTGACAAATCAATGTACTTCTTTGACTGCACAGCGCACGTTGCATGGTAGTACCTTCTGCACCCGTAGTAAGCACACGGCGCCACTCCGCCTTTTTTAAACCCGCACTCCAGGCATTGCTGCTGGCTTCTGTGCACATCTTCAATGTCCACCGGTTCTACAAGCGAAGTATTTTCAAATCTTGCGCCGGTAACTAAATGCCCGCAGAGAACGTGGCACCAGAACCCATTGCTTGTTCTTTTGTACGCCCCGCCAGATATTGGGCACAAAATGCAGCTTATTACCTTTTTGGGAGAAAGCAAGCAGGGCCTGCACAGCCAGCTGCCGTCTGGAATGTTGGGCACGCCGTAGCAGGACTGGTGCACAGCTATGTTGCAGCCATCGCAAAAAACGAGAAAGTTGTCATTTTCTGTTTCCTTCTCGCCGCAGATGTTGCACTCTTCTGAGAGCTCTTCGTTTTCCGTTATTTTTGTGATTGCTATTCTCTGCAGATAGTGGTGCTCTTTCTCCAGCCTGTCCATAACCAGCTCGTACATGTTCTCGTCAGCCCAAGAGTATTTTTGATTTAAAAACAGCAATATTTCTCTGTCTACTTCATCCATGTTGTACTCGATGTCGTAGACAGTCGGCTTTTTCCTTTCTTCCAGATACTTCATAATGGCATGTTTGTTTTTCTTGGCTTGCATTGTAAAAAATGGCAAAAGAAATTTTGCAAGTTTTGTTTGCAAGTTTTGCCAATTTCTAGACAATGTATTTCCAGGCCATCCTTCGCATCCTCTGCACACAAACACATCTCAAATGGAATGCATTATCTATTGCGCAGTAATACTTAGCTAGTGGATATTTACACCAAACCAGTTCTTCTTTTGTATTCTGGCGTATATTTTAATTTTGCAATTTCTGTTTTTGTGTTCTGACTCTTTCATTCCACTACACTACAAACAAAAATAGTCCCATCATTAATCCACTAGCATTGTTGGTGAGGGGCTATATTTAATAATTTTAACAAATTTTATCTTGGATTTTATTTTAGTCAGCGCACTTTGCAAATTAACCAGAACCACAAATAGAGTCTATTCTCCGCTGCATTAACATAACCTTAAAATTTCTTTATTTGTAATTTATTTATTCTTCTGTCTTATTGCCCATTGTTGCTGGATAGGGACGACAGAGCCTTGGCAATAAGCATCTTCACCTGGGACGGCTGCAGTTTTAGCTCTGACGAGACACTTTCCAGCGTCTTGTGCTGGAGCCCTACGGCAAGCAGAATGATTTTCTGTGTAGACGAAATTATCTGTTTTTTTGTTTTCAGAACCTCTTTTGCGATCATTGGGATCAGATCAATCACAATTCTTAGGTCCAGGTTGCACCTCGCAAACTGCTGCATTCTTCGCACCTGCTCCTCTGTGAACACTTTTACTCCTGCTTGGTTTGGAGTTACCACCTGCAGCGCGATAACCGTGGGAACTGCGCTAAAACATCCTGGAAGCAGCTCTAAGAATCTTTCAGTGAACTCTTTCCTGTATTTCTCTATCTTCTCTGCAGCTCTGTCTGAGAGCGGCCTCATTGTGATAAGCGAGTGCTCCCCTGTAGTTTTGCACAATGTGTGTTTCAGGTAAACAGGCTTCATCTCCAGTCTAAGCCAGAAGTCCAGCAGTTTTTGTGTTACTCCAAACGACACGCCAATGTAGTCCACTTTGCAAAGCGACAAGGCAGAAAATAGAACATTGCTGCTATCGCTCCCGCCTATCTGAGATTTTGATAAATTTTCATTTTTACCGTCTGCTGCCTTAACGATCTCATTGACCAGGTACGATCCGTATCCCATGGACTGTGCGTCTGGGTGGATCGCTATTCTGATTATCCGCATGCCCAGCTGCTCGAATATTTCCATGTCCAGGAAGTACTGCGAAATTGACCAGGGAATCAGGTTCCCTTTTTCTGTTCTTTTTTCGTTGTATGCTTTCTGTGTCTCGTCCATTTCCATTCTGCTGCCTTCCTTCACACACTGCGCGAGCCCGAGAACCCTTCCGTCTTCTGTCAGCAGGACAACCAAAGCGTGGTTCTCATCGTCTGCTAGAGTTTGCAGATCATTTGGGCTGTTTTTGTAGTGCCCTGACAGAAGTATGCTGGACAGCGATTTCAGAATTTTTTCTGTTTCCTCATGGCCCGAGAAAAGAAGAGACTTGTTCACGCTGTAAGTCCTGCACTTTTCGTGCTTTGGGAATGTTATCATCTTCGGTATCTCCGGAGCGAGCGAAAGCGCGCCGTTTAGCCACTTCTCAACAGGATCATTTCTGCTGTATCTAATCGGCTCTTCCAATCTGATAATTTCAGGATTCAGGGACTTGAATAGCTTCAGAGACAGAGCGCGCCCTGTGCCCTCATATCCAGCAGTTGTTGAAGAGATCATCGTCGGGTACATCCCCAGCATTTCCTTGAGAATCGGCAGAGGAATAGCTGCTGCTTCGTCCACAACCAGCATAGATGGGGAGTGTCCCAGTTTCTGCGGTGCTGCAAATCTGATGGTCTGGTAGTGCGTTTTTGATACCGTTATTTTTTCAATTAATTTTTTAAAAGTTTTTGAGTATTCAATAAAAAAGTCAAACTGCTCTTTATATCCATTCGCTGCCAAACCGGTCACTGCAAACTCAAAAACAGTCTGCACATTCGACAGGTGCGGAGCAGATATCAGAATGTCGTTCATTCCCTTCACAACTGCGTGAGCAATTGACAGCCCCAGAGCAGCTGATTTCCCGCGCCCTCTGTCTGCTGTGATCGCAACTAAAGATCTCCTCTCCAGTATCTGCGAGAGCTGGAAGACGGCGTCAGCCTGGTCTTCTGTTTTGCACTGCCGCATTAGAACAGCTGTGCTGTTTGCGCTTATGATGCTCAGTGGATTAAGAGGATTTGCTGCCTCTTTTATTTTTTGCACTTTTTCTTCTACTCTGTTCTCTTTTTCTGTCTCTAGCTCTGTCTCTTTTTGGCTCTCGTATTTCAAAACATTCATCTGGCTATCTAGTATAAGATAGTTGTCTGCTGATTGGAGCAGGTGATAGAGTCTTCTTGTGTATATGCTATCTGTTTCATCAACGGGCAGCAGTATTACCCCTCCTCCTTTCACGCTTTCCACTACGCTTGCCAGCGAGTTGGCTCTGATTTTCGAGAAGTCTTGGAGGATGCAGAGGTCCGTGGTTGTTCCAAGCACTTTTTCCGCTTCGCTGTGAAACACGTAGTTTATATCGGTATTTACAATGAACGATTCAAAGTTTGAGAGGACGCACTCTCCGGCTCCTCTTCTTTTTTTTGCCTTTCCTATTTTGTGCGTCTTGGCCTCCAGCTCCTTCTCGTACACCCAGAGCACACGCGGCCTAATTGTGTACCTAGAGAGCAGAGAATGGACGTGGTGGACAACATCTTTCACTTTTCCGCACACGCCAATAATTGATCTGTGTTTGTTTTTCACTCCATTTTCTAACAGACTGAGTATTTTATTGTCTACTCTTTCTTTGTTAATTGTCATGCAAATTTTTAGTAACTGCAATTTTTTCATCTTCTACGGAAAATAGCAAAAAAGGCTGGCATTTCCAGCTGCTAGCTGCCTGCCCTTGCAGTAGAGCCGAAGAAAGCCAGCCATGTTCTCTCTTCTATACTTGTTTTTAAGCTCATCGTATTAGTATAGTGTTACGTGGTAAAATATCTTACTTTTGGTTTACACTGAAAAAGAAGATAAATAAACAGATATGATGGACTGGATACTCTGCTAGATGTAGATTTTTATTTACTCTGCATTAATTCAAGAGGTATTTATTGTTTAGTTATGGCTATTTGTATATTTAATATACATGAAAACTCAAAATGCCAGGATGTAACCGGAGAATGCTAAATAAGTTAGCCAACTAGAACAAGCTGTCTAAGACAACTCAATTACATGTATATTCTAGAGTGTATCTTAACCTGTCGTATTACTTCATTATGAATGGCCATTTCTTCATAGTACAATGGTTGATTCCAGAAACTGCACGATTCTTTGAGAATCTAATCAGTAGCACTGATGCGGCTATAAAAATAGCACTTAGCATGAGAATTTTAACTATATTGACTCGGCTAGTTGTTATTGTGAAGGATTTTCTTTCTTCTGGCACTTTTTTCTCTTCTGCTTCGTCTGTTACAACTCTTATATCCACTGCTTTTCCAAATTCTTTTATTTTTCTGAGCAGATACTGTTTCTGGAGCAGACTCAAGCCTGGCAATTCATCCAAGGCAGTTGAAAGTTCCTTAATATTATGAAACTCTGGATACCCTTTTTTATCCTCATATGTTAGCAAGTATATGGTGTTTTCTAGAGAGTTAATTCTATGTCTTATCCTTTCCAGCTCTTCTTTTTTTTCTTTCTCTATCCGGCTGTAGTCTGGAGAACTACGGTCTGCGCTGTTTTCCCACTCTTGAAAGCTCTCTCTTTTTTCGCTGTAGTTTGCTTTTTCCATATCAAGCAGGTCCTTATTCTTTGGCACTTCCTCAAACGCTTTGTTTCTTTCTCTATATATTAGTTCAGCTAGGCACGTATCACCTGCATATTTTTTATAAAAATCGCTCAAATCTGCCTTTACCTTTACTACCTTTGGCCCGTCCATTTGGTCCAGGAGCTTAGTGTGATGTGCCATGTATCCTATTGCTTTGATTATCCTTTTCTGTGCCGACTTTTCTGCTGCAATTTTTTCTAGATGGTTGCAGATGGAAATGGCTATCTTCAGGTCTTCAGGGCTAAACAGGTTGCTGATTTCTTTGCCAATCACGTCCTGGTATTTAGTAGAAACAACTCTGATCTCTCTGATCAGCTTGATCAGCTTTTCGATTTTAAGATATTTCCCGCAGATCATCTTTAGCCCATAGTCCACTAGTAGCACATCGTCTTTAGTTAGCGTGTACAGCTGATCTAGAGTGTAAAATTCTCTAATGGACAAATATTTTTTATAAATATCCATGTCCTCCAATTGCACCGAACTGGATATATAGCTCAGAGTCTGTCTATCAAGGCTCTCTGTCACAAGCTGAAGCATGCCTTTCAGGCCCAAAGCATTTGTGTCATTGATCTCCAGAGTGCATGTTCTAGGGCTCAGATCTGGGTTATCATCTTCCGTTATATCATCTAGCGGCTCATGCATATCAACCTTTCGAGTGATTCCGTGGTCTATGTCGTATATCAATGGATTTGGCTTTATAAGCTCATTGATCAGAAGAATGCACCTTTTTTTCAGCATTTGCCTGGCTCCGCTTCTTAGCGAGTCGTGGATTCTGCATATAAGTCTTAACATGCTGCTATTGTACACAAAGTATAGGTACATAGAACTCTTAACCATGTCTAGGATAACTTTTTTTTCTTCAGGGCTGTGCGTACTTTCTATTTTCAGATTCCCATCGAGTATGTATTTTAGTATAAGCATAAAACTTATTCTATTATAGGACTGAACAGCTTCGCTCAAAGCATCCACACTGTTAACAGTCATGCAGGCCTGCACCATTCCATTCACATCTATCTTGAATTGAACCTCTTTTGCAGCCATCTAAAAGTTTTATTTGCAGGAATAATTTAAAAAACAAGAATCTCCAAAGGTAAAAACTTTTAGTTTAATTTCAGCATGCAGAGTAAAGAAAATGCCTATGGTCTTATTTTCTTTAAAGGTTCTACTTGGACAACAGATCCTTGCAGTGCGCCCTTTGCATTGTATATTTAGCATCTGATTGTTTTGCTCCTACTATATGCTATTATCATGCTCTGCATATCTCTCATAGATTCTCTATGCTCATCTCTGATCTCTCGCTCTCCCTCATCATCAAATTAAAGCATTTGTGCCTTGGCAAGCCAGCCTGATGTTTATGAGAATACAGACCAAGGAAAGATAGATAGATTAAATAGTTTGTAGGATAGAAAAATAGAAAGATATTCTCTTGGCTTGAGCCATAAATGCGAAAATCATTTTTTTAGCATGAAAATCCTGAAATTAAGAAAAACTCTAGCTCTATGCACAATGCTCCTTACTCTCTTTATTGCAGAGTGCCAAGGCAGTGCAAATGCCTTCGCCGAGAAAAGGATTAGTGCTGGCAATCTGTCTGCAGGAGAAAAAAGAAGAGCAAGCGAGGTCAAAAGTGCAATGAATACATTTGGCCACCAGCCTGAGCACAGCAGTAAAAAACAAAAAAAAGGTGATACCAGATCAAAGAAAGAGTCTGATATCGCCTGTATGCAGCAGGAAGTTGAAATCATGATGAAGAATAACGAGCATCCAATGCAGATCAATACCCAGGAAATGGCGCTTGAAAAAAAGCTGGCCACAAAAAAAACACACAGAATAGAAAAACAGAACTACAACATCAGACGATGGAACAGCAATAGACTGGAAAACTTAGGGAGGCATAGGTATAAGCTAAACTACAACACAATGTGCGAGAATAAGTATACAAAAAAATATCTGATCGCCGCAGTTAAGAATGAGCTGTACCAGACAAAACTTAGAATAGACATTCGCGAGTTTTCAGAGAAGACTGCCCCTCTCATAGAGAAGAATGCGATGTGGTACTTCATTGCAAGCAGAACTGCAAGCATAAGCATGAAGTATAAAGATCTTCTAGCGCTGAAGGAGCTGTTCAGTAATGGGGAAAACAGTAAGTACATAGAAATGGTAAAAAGCTTCGAAGGATACTACCCCGAGCTGTTTGATGACATGGAAGCATACATGGAAAAGAACGAGCCTTTGCGAATCAATGTAGACCATCCTCCAACTGTCTGGAATAAAAACCTGGGCGATATTTACATGAGCGAATGTCTCAAAATAGACTACAGAATGATCGATAAACAGGATGGATTTTACCTAGTAGAAAAGAAGTACCATCCGTTGGCATACGCTGTGCACATGATTATGATGCTGCCTGAAGTGTACCAAGACTTTTCCAAAATAGACAAAGAGTTTATAGAAGACACATGCATTTCTAAAGACACAGCTGCAAGGAAGAAAAATTGCCAAATTCTATTAGGAGTACACGAAGTAGTGCAGCAGTATGCAAAAAAAAGAATAAACGAGTGTGTGTATAGTGAGCTATACAGTGCTCTTGAGGACGTGTATGACAAGGGCGAGCTGGAAAGAAAAAGAGCCATTGACCTGTATCGAGACATATACGCTCTTCTTGGCACATTCTACAAAAATGCAGAGGTCGTTGACAGAAGAAACAAATACATTCTGGCAGGAAAAGGCATAATAAAGAACCAGGTAAATATGAAATGCGAGATAGTATCAGATACATCACTACAAGCTGCAGATAAAAGAGTATTGAGAGCAGAGTATGCATTTGAGGAGAACAGATGGAACATCTCGCCTGATGTGCCCATACACTACCATGTGTACTATGTGGACAACACAATTGGCCTGCCTAGAAGGCTGTGCATGCCCATATGTGTTGATGAAAGCGGTGAAGAACACTACCTGCATACAATTAGCGACATAGTAGAATATGTAAAGAAGCTGTATGAAATAAAAAATATTTCAAATGCTATTTATCCCTTTAGGGTGAACAAAAAAACCAGAAAGTGGACTTACATCAAAGAGAAAGAGAGGAGTAAAACAGTGAAAGACTTGGAAGAGTATGAGGTAGTCTTTTATAATATCGAAGAAGATGTAAACACCACAAGATTTACGTTTGCAGAGTTCAGGCCGTTAAACTCTTACAGCGAGGTCATTATTCCCATCCCGCTGTTTCTTACGCCTCTGATGCGGTCGGCAGTGGATATAGGCCTTTTTGTTGAGCTGGCAAATAAGCATAGAGAGATAGAGTCAGTGGAGTTGGAAGAGAGAGAGCCTGATGTGTACACGCACAACTATAAATACATGGGCCCAAAGTATTCAGACATGTATTCATACTACAACAATCTGTACATACTGCCAGATAAAATAAAAAGCACAGAGTGCTATGCCATGAACTGCGATTCCAGCAAAGATAATGACGGGAATGCTAAAGCGGTGTGGTGTGCAAGAGTGCCGGAAGGCATGGATGAGTACACGCACTGTGTGCTAAATAAAGGATTTGAGGAAAAAGAGATATCAAAAAAGTACGCTGAGTTTATTGCTGCTGTAGAGTCAAGGGAGCACAACAAAAACAGCCAGCTGCAAGGCTTTTGTCTAAAAGACAGCCGCATACGAAGCAGCAGAACAGAAAAACAGACATACAAGATATGCAACTGGCTAGAGGACAGGGATATTGAGAGCTATAGTAACAATACGAGTCTGAACAACCTCGAGATGAAGATCAGTAAAAATGAAAAATATGTGGAAGAAATAGAGACCCAGATGGACAATTTGAATGACTCCAGTGTACAACAAACAGAAGAGACAAAACGGCAGTATGCTATAATACAGCGCAGAAGGAGAAGAATAGGCTATAAACTAGACAGCTTGCATGAAGAGATGCGCAAATTACTATCCAAAAGAACAAAGAGTTCAGAAACAGAGCTTGTAGTGTTCCGGAATGTGAACTCAAGCAGATCTAACCTAGGAGCACACAACGAGATTCTTGATGTTTTTATCAAACTGTACAGACAGCAGTGCAGAGTCCAGTAAATCAGCTAATAAATAAATAGCATCAATGAGTATAGAATACTTCCTCTTTTTACGTCCACAGTACCTATTAATATAGTGACAAATCCAAAGTGTATACTTTTTCGTAAACTTAAATCTGTTAGTAATAAAAAGTGTACATATATGTCTGTGTAGAGGTTTATTTAGAAGAATGCTAGAAGCTAGGAATAAAAAGAAAAAACTGTGCATTAAATAGAAAAAATGTCCAATGTACACCTATTGCAGTGTTTAAAAACAAGTGTAGTTTATTTTGAATTCTAGGCTGGGCATTGGGGCTACACAGGCTGTGGTATCTCAGACTTGTTTATCTTCCTTATTTAGTTTCTGCGCATAATATACTGTTTCCTTATACCGAATAAACTACTACTTTTAGCAGCATTCATCGCCTAGTTATTTGAGTTTTTTCTAACGAGTGGCATTGTTGTCACGAAAGTAGTACAAGCTGCCACAGCAGCTAATACTATGCCTTTTTTAGAATTTCTTTTGTTAGCTTTATCCATTTGTAGCACTTGATGCCTCTCAGATATCTCTTCTACTTCTTCAGATACTCCTGCTGCCTCTGCTACTTCTTTTTCTTCTTCTGGCTCTTCTACCTCCATCTTCAATTTCCGTGCTTTTACAAACTCTTCTATCTTTTTGAGCATGTATTTCTCCTGCTGTGGGCTCAGCTGGTATAAGCATCTTAAGCTATGCAGGAGCTTCTCAATGATGCTACACTGTATTTTTTCTTTTTTGTGCTCGCATTTTAGAGAATATATCTTCTCTTTTAGCTTATCCATCGAAGTAATCGCTTCTTCCTTCTCTCCACCATCTTCTATTAGACTGTAGTTTAGTTCCTCTTTCTCTAGGGCATCTTCCTGTATTTTTATCTCTGCATCTAATCTGTGCAACCTATCACTTACTATCCTATCTAAACCTGTACCAATTACACAGTTTTTGTAGAAGTTACTTAAGTCGGGTTTTATCTGCAGTGTGTTTTGCTCATCTGCCTCTTTCCACAGCAAGTTGTTATTTACTAGATACTCCAGTGTCTGGATCATGTAGTTGAGCAACTCTTTCTCATATTTAATTTTTTTCAGACTACTGGCAACTGAAATGATTATTTTTAGGTCGTCTTTTTTGTGCGCAAATATCTCATCAACCTTTGCAGTTATGTCCTTAGGTTCGCTATATTTATTCTCCATGTCTTTCAGCAGACCAATCAACTCTTCAATTCTGTAATATTTTTCGTAAATAAGGTTGAGCCCATAGTCTGCTAGCGGCATACCATCTTTGCCTAGGTCGTATAGCTCTTCCAAAGTGTAGTACGACTTTATAGATGAATACTTCTTCAGAACATCCATGTCTACTGAGCCCACCAAAACAGCGATATAGTCTAGATTCTGTCTGTTCAGGCTCTCTGAGGTAAGCCTCATCAAGCTTTTCAAGTTCAGGAAGTCTGCATCATCAATCTCTAGAGTGCATGTCCTAGCGCTTAAATCAGCACTTTCATCGTCTGGATCTATGCTTTTTATCGGTCCATCTGTACCATACTTTCTGGTTACTCCATACTTTGGATTGTATATGAACGGATTTATCTTTATAAGGTCATTGGCCAGAGAGATAGCTTCGTGAGCAATTGATCTATCGTGCCTCCCCTTCAGTGCGTCGTATAGATAGTGCATCCCTAGCGCTTGATGATTATTGTCGACAAGAGACTGGTAGAATCTATTCTTAACTATGTTTAAAAGCATTTCGTTTTCTTTATCGCTGTGTTTGCCTTCTATTTCCAGATTCCCATTAAATATACGCTCTAGCATAATAGAATATCTTGGCTTCGTGCCAGCTGTAATGTAAAAATCTATATTGTCTGTCCCATTGATGGATTTGCACTCGTTTAGTATTCCCTCCACATTTATTTTCAATTTAACTTCTCTTGTGGTCATTCTGAAAGTTTTAACTTACAAAAAATAATTTAAGAATCAAGGGCTTCCCATAGAGGGTAAATTTTAGTTTATTTTTAGCATACCACATAAAGAATATTGGTGCTCCTATATAGCACACTACACTTGCTGCAGCTAGTCAATGGAAGGTTTAGCTAGAAGATGGACTAAGCTTATAGGTTTATGTAAAAATGATATTGTATAGAGCACAGAACATGTAAGACATTTATCTTTTTTCCTTTATAAGTGCCAAAGGCGTAATGAATAGAAAAGATTTAACACACTGCAGAAAAAGAGAGACTAGAAGAGAGCTAGCAAAGATCTGTTATGCAGAGTCCATATAGTATGTCTCATTAAAGAGCATTGCACAAATAGGGTAAATGAGAGTAAGGTTATAACAGGAACTATAAATAAAAAAATATCAATTTTTACCATGAAAAACCATAAATGGAAGAAAATGCTAGG